TCTGGGGGGTGGTGCTCCTCTCCATTTCTAAGCCGAAGAACCAGCATTGTCCATAGACAACTCCAAGGTCATGTGGCCAACATGACAGCATGGAGCGCCATTACCTCCCCCCCCCCCCAGAGTGGTACCTATTGATCTACTCATGTTGGCATGTTTTCAAACTGCTAGGTTGGCGGAAGCTGGGGCTGACAGCAGAAGCTCATGCCACTCCCTGGATTCAAACCTGCGACCTTTGGGTCAAAAAGTTTAGCAGCTCAGCGGTTAACATGGTCCCTGGTCAAAGTGGTCTTTGGTCAAAGTGGTCCTGGGTCAAGTGTTCCCTGGTCAAGTGTTCCCTGGTCAAGTAGTCACTAGTTAGGTGGTCCCTGGTCAAGTGGTCCCTGGCCAAAGTTGTCTCTGGTCAAATCGTCCCTGGTCAAAGTGGTCCCTGGTCAAGTGGTCATTGGTCAAAGTGGTCCCTGGTCAAAATGGTCCCTGGTCAAGGAGTCCCTGGCCAAGTGGTCCCTGGTCAAAGTGGTCCCTGGTCAAATGGTCCTTGTTCAAATTGGTCCCTGGCCAAGTCGTCCCTAGTGAAGGTGGTTCCTAGTCAAAGTGGTTCCTTAACAAGTGGTCCTTGGTCAAAGTGGTTCCTGGTCAAAGTGGTCCCTGGTCAAAGTTGTCCCTAGTCAAAGTTGTCCCTGGTCAAGTCATCACTGGTCAAAGTGGTCCCTGGTCAAGTGGTCCTTGGTCAAAGTGGTCCCTGATCAAAATGGTCCCTGGTCAAGGAGTCTCTGACCAAGTGGTCCCTAGTCAAAGTGGTCCCTGGTCAAATGGTCCTTGTTCAAAGTGGTCCCTGGCCAAGTCATCCCTAGTCAAGGTGGTTCCTAGTCAAAATGGTTCCTGATCAAGTGGTCCTTGGTCAAAATGGTCCCTAGTCAAAGTTGTCCCTGGTCAAGTCATCACTGGTCAAAGTGGTCCCTGCCTCCACGCTTGTTCAAAGTGATCCCTGGCCAAGTTGTCCCTAGTCAAGGTGATCCCTGGTCAAAGTGGTTCCTGATCAAGTGGTCCCTGGTCAAAGTGGTCCCTGGCCAAGTCATCCTTTGTCAAGGTAGTTCCTGGTCAAAGTGGTTTCTGATCAAAGTGGTCCCTGGTCAAGTGGTTCTTGGTACAAATTGTCCATGGTTAAGTAGTCCCTGGTCAAAGTGGTCCCTAGTCAAAAAAAGGTTGGGAACCACTGCTTTAGACCTTAAAACTTGCAACTGCTATGATTCCACATCATGAGGCCATGACAGCTAAAATGGCACCCAACTGAAATAATTCTACAGTGTTGGTGTACCCTGAGAATCATTAATGGCTATATCTGAAACTCCCTACATGACAAAATGAAGCCAAGGGGCCCTGACAGGATCTCAGGCTATTTGGTTGTCCATTGAAGTAGCCCTAGGAGATAGCTAGGAATACATTTACATTGATGCCCCCATCCCACCACCATAGTTTTTTTTAAAGAAGTCTTATAGCAAAGTTGGGTGCTGATGGAGGGAGTGGCTTCCCATTGTCAGAAGAAAGATTTCATTCATAGTGGAGCAAATTCGACTTGTCAAGCTTTCTTGGGGACTGTTCATGAAACAATTGTTGCTTTGAGGGATCTGGCTAACGCTGGAACATGGCTAGTTGGCCACTGGCAACAGATGGCTCAGTCAATCCCTTCACATTCAGAGAAATATAAATTGTATGTTCCGTGACACGTTACAAGGGATTTCTCTCTCAGAATGGGAGCTTTCAGTATATTTGATGCATTATTTGAACATGATTCCCTTCCATGTTCACAGCACCAGAAGTAGCCTGTTATATATAGTATACGCATATAGTACACCCAACTACAGGGAAAGGTTTGGAAGTATTACACTATGTAACATGATTTTTGTTACTGGGTGATAAATGCTATTTCCCAATTGGTTCTGTCATAAAAACTTGGAAAAGGTTTATTAAACTGCAAAAATTTTGTTTTTACGGGACATCCTGCTATAGTACATTTTGTGCTAGTTTTTCAATGAATATCTCATAGCGTCTCGAGCAAATCAACCTAGTTTGTGGCAGCCACAAAAAGGAGGTTTCCAGAGTAGGAAAACTACTTTCAAAGGGAGGACCACACAATTAAATAAGAATAACACTTTCAAACCAGGTTCTTTTTTCAAATGTGGTTATATAGTGTTATTGCTCAGCTAGTTGGAAGTGCCCATGTTGGAGTTGAGAAGTTGCACAGCTTAAAAACTTGGAGTCAAAGGTAACTTTTGAGATACGTATCTGCAAAGACATCTCCATGTCTCCCAAGGTAACCCTCTTCCCCTTCTATTTGATCTTAATCTTGGACTTCTTACTTGTACTGTTTACAAGGACCTAGAAATCAAATGGATCATCCTGACGACCAAGCATCCAAAAATGCATCATATATGGGTGACTTATTGGAACCTCAGTCCCATCTGCCAAGATTGAGGAGTCCAATAAATAAGTTGGGGCAGGGGAAATAACAGCAACAACAACTGGCACAAGCCAGTCAAGGTGGTCCCAGTGGCGAAGAGCACGCTAGGTGCAGTGCCTAAAAACCTTGGCCTGCACTTAAAAACAATCAGCACTGACAAAATTACCACATGTCAGCTGCAAAAGGCCACCCTACTTGGATCTGCATGAATTATTCGCCAATACATCACATAGTCCTAGACACTTGGGAAGTGTCCAACGTGTGATCCAATACAACAGCCAACATAGTGATCTTGTTTGCTCCATACTAATCTTGTTGTGTTTCTAATAACAACAACAACATTAATAATCAAACTGCAAAGACTCTTCCACAAGCCAGTCAAGGTGGTCCCAGTGGTGATCAGCACACTGGGTACAGTACCTAAAGACCTTGGCCTGCACTTAAAAACAATCCGCACTGACAAAATTACCATCTGCCATCTGCAAAAGGTCACCCTACTTGGATCTGCATGTATTATTCGCCAATACATCACATAGTCCTAGACAATTGGGAAGTGTTCAACGTGTGATCGAATACAACAGCCAGTATAATGATCTTGTATTGTCGAAGGCTTTCATGGCCGGAATCACTGGGTTGTTGTATGTTTTTTCAGGCTATATGGCCATGAGGATGGTCTAGAGGCATTCTCTCCTGACGTTTCGCCTGCATCTATGGCAAGCATCCTCAGAAGCAGTGATCTTGTTTGCTGTGTACTAATCTTGTTGTGTTTCAAATAATAACAAAAATAACAGCAACAATAACAGTACTTTATTTGTATTCTGCCCTATCTCCCTGAGGGGACTCAGAGTGGATTCCAGCATATATATACAGACACAGACAAACATTCAATGCCTTTGAAACACAAATACACAGTCAAAGGCAAAGGCTTCCCTTTCCATCTCCGGTTATGGAGGCAGTGCTCATCCCTGGATCTGGAGGAGGTGTTCATCTCCATTTCCAAGCCAAGGAGCCTGCGTTGTCCATAGACACCTCCTGATCACATAGCAGGCATGACTGCACGAGGCTCCGTTTTACCTTCCAGATCTACTCACATTTGCATGCTTTCAAACTGTTAAGTTGGCAGGAGCTGGGGCTGACAGTGGGAATCTTGTGGATTCAAACTGCCAACCTTCAGGTTAGTAAGCTCAGCAGCTCAACAGTTTAACCTATTGCACTACCGTGGCCCTTGGGTCTCCAGAGCTGTTGTCCGACACTCAAAAAGCAGTGTGTGTGTATATATCTGTATGTGTGTATGTGTACGTATATGCATATGTATATATATGTTGAGATTAATTTCACAATTCAGCAGCAGATCAGTTGCACAACTTCAGCGTTTTCCAATATCTTCTTCCTGCACAGTATTTTCAGTCAACTGCTCCCACAAACTGCAGTGACTCTGGAACTCTTTTACAGACACTTGAGCACATGCCCGGCCATTGTCAGTTTTACTATTGTTTTCCCCTCCAATCTAGATGACACTACAAACTTACCAGAGCACATGGTTATATCTTGTCTTAGCAGACAGGTTCTTTTAATCAATTACATAGAGCATTCGACGAACAACATCACAGCACAAGAAGAGAGTATACACTCTACATGACTTCCTTATATACAATTCTATACAATTATACATAGCAATCTCTGATTGGTTCCCAACTCATTGACTCAACTCAGACCCAGGATTACATCATTCACAATCACCTGGACTAGGCCAGAACACATTCCCCAAATGAAGTTCTATATACAGTTAATGTATGACTCAGCATTTCCAATAGAAGCCTATTAGCAGTGCATGACTCAGCTATATTACATTACAATACATTGTAAAACCTGACAATATATATGTATATGCATATGTGTGTATATATATGTGTGTGTGTGTGTCTTTAGGCACTGCATCCAGTGTGTGTGTATGTGTGTATATATATATGGGTTCTTTCCCCCACCTAGGACAGTCCACAGATATATATACACTCCACTTTTGGCAGGTCTCTGAGGATGCCTGCCACAGATGCAGGCGAAACGTCATGAAAGAATGCTACTGGAACATGACCATACAGCCTGAAAAACTCACAGCAACCCAAAAGCATTAGTGTTTAGCTTATAGGAGATGATGAAGGTCCTTAAAATGCATGTGCTGCATAGATATAGATATAGATATAGAGATATATAGATATAGATATATATGGCCTTGCAATTCAATATGTGTATCTCCCCCAAAATTATGAGCCCCAGCAGATGTGTACTTTTGATCATTCATATAGCGAAATGATCAAAGAATTTGCATTGCCTCTAAAAGCTTTAGTTACCAATCGGAAAGGATGGATTTGAGCTCCAGAACATCAAACATCGACCCGAATGCTTTCATGGTTACATGGGGGCCCCTTTGTGCCCTCACCCGCTTCTTGCTCCAACTGCGCTCTGCCTGAAGCACACAACTTGTTTATGATTTGCTTCCCCCATGTGACAACATTTCTATGTCTGCCCTGTTCCCTTCCTTGACTTCTTTGGGTTTCATGCCCATTGGCTGCGCTGCCTGAATCTAGAAGGGGGGACAGGCTCATTTGATCCTTTATAATAACTCCCCAGTCCTTTTTAGAAGCATTTCACCAGTGACCGCACCAGCTCCTTCAGTAGACCAGCAACAGGAAATAGTTAGATCTGCATTGTTTTGATCTCTGAGCCACCCAGCTTGGTGTGCCGGATATCCAAAAGAGAACATTGGTGTGAATGAGGCCAATATACAGAGCGTCTCCTTTAATTCAGGCTGCAAAGGTGAGTAAAATATTCTCAAAACAGCATTTCCCAATAGGATTTGCAATTCATTATTCAAACAGATTAATACTGTGTACTCTCATAACTGTTATTATAGACCGACTTGGAAAAATGTTGCCAGGCTGTAAGGATGAATCGGTTTTCTAACTTCAAGCATGTAATCAAAATGTGCCTTTCATGGCGGAGAGGGTTCTGCTTGTGGAAAATGCTTCTGCACACTTTTGTGTAATTCTGCCACCTTGGACAGCGTAGTTCCTTAATCATCTGTGTAGCCTTTGGGATTGACTTATGGGAACATACATTAGTTCTGTGTTTCTCAACCTGGGGGTTGGGACCCCTGGGGGGGGGGCGTCGTGAGGGGGTGTCAAAGACCATCAGAAAACACAATATTTTCTGTATTGTCGAAGGCTTTCATGGCTGGAATCACTAGGTCCTTGTGGGTTTTTCCGGGCTATAGAGCCATGTTCTAGAGGCATTTCTCCTGACGTCAGGAGAAATGCCTCTAGAACATGGCTCTATAGCCCGGAAAAACCCGCAAGAACCTAACAATATTTACTGTTGGTCATGGATGTTCTGTGTGGGAAGTTTGGCCCCATTCGATCGTTGGTGGAGTTCAGCATGCAATTTGATTGTAAGTGAACTATAAATCCCAACAACTGCATCTCCCAAATGTCAAGGCCTATTTTCCCCTAACTCCATCAGTGTTCACATTTGGGCATATTGAGGATCCATGCCAAGTTTGGTCCAGATCCATCATTGTTTGAGTCCACCATGCTCTCTGGATGTAGGTGAAGTACAACTCCAAAACTCAAGGTCAATAACCATCAAATCCTTCCAGTATTTTCTGTTGGTCATGGGAGTTCTGTGTGCCAGGCTTGGTTCAATTTCATTGTTGGTGGAGTTCAGAAAGATTTTGATTGTAGGTGAACTATAAATCCCAACAACTGCATCTCCCAAATGTCAAGGCCTATTTCCCCCTAACTCCATCAGTGTTGACATTTGGGCATATTGAGTATCTGTGCCAAGTTTGGTCCAGATCCATCATTGTTTGAGTCCACCGTGCTCTCTGGATGTAGGTGAACTACAACTCCAAAACTCAAGGTCAATGGCTACCAAACCCTTCTAGTGCTTTCTGTTGGTCATGGGAGTTCTGTGTGCCAAGTTTGGTTCAATTCCATTGTTGGTAGAGTTCAGAATGTTTTGATTGTAGGTGAACTATATATCCCAGCAACTTTGACTCCCAAATGACAAAATCAACCCCATCAGTATTCAAATTTGGGCATATTAGGAATTTGTGCCAAATTTGGTCCAGTGAATGAAAACACAACCTGCATACTGGATATTTACATTCCGATTCATAACAGTAGCAAAAATAGTTATGAAGTAGCAATGAAAATAATGTTATGGTTGGGGGTCACCACAACATGAGGAACTGTATTTAGGAGTCGCAGCGTTAGGAAGGTTGAGAAACACTGCATTAGTTGGTTGGTAAGGTAGAAGGAAAGGAAAGGACCATATTATAGATACTCTGATTCAATAAAGGAAGATGCAGCCTTGAGTTTGTGAGACTCAAGAAGGTCCATGGATGACCAAGGCTCTTGGAGTTCTTTCATTCATGTTCACCATAAGTCAAAGTTGTCTTGATGATGAATAATGGCATCAGCCTTGTCAGGGTGAAAAAGGTAAGGAAATAATCTTCACTTGGTCCAGTTCATGCCCAAGTCAATCTATCATAGGAATATTATTGTTTTATAGTGTGGTGAAGCACATTTAAAATTTGAGAGAAGAGAAAGTACTTAGTATATGGAATGTTAAGGAAAGAAGGTTGTGGAAGTAGTGGGAATATAGAATGATCCAGAGTGGGGTGCAATTGGTCAATTCGAAGGGAACAATTTAAAAAATGAATGGGAAGGACAATAAATAAGATGAGTGGGAATATATATAGTTGATGTCCAGCAAGCCATCATCTAAACTTCTGTTTGTCCTGAATTTGTTTTCATTGGGTTACTGTGAGTTTTCCAGGCTGCCTGGTCATGTTCCAGAAGCATTCTCTCCTGATGTTTTACCCATATCTATGGCAGGCATTCTCAGAGGTAGTGAGGTCTGTTGGAAACTGGGCAAGTGAGGTTTATATATCTGTGGAATGTCCAGAGTGGGAAAATGTTGCAGTTGGCCAGCTTGATTAGCATTTAATTAAATGATTAGCATTTAATCAAGGTTACCAATTGCAACATTCACACTTGCCTCCAACAGACAATAGTTCTTTCTCCCACCCTGGACATCTGGCACAAGCCAGTAAGGATGGTCCCAGTGGTGATCGGCACACTGGGTGCAGTACCTAAAGACCTTGGCCTGCACTTAAAAACAATAAGCACTGACAAAATTAGCAATTTAAAATTTAAAATTTTTCAATTTTTAAAATTGCCTTGAACAAGCAGGATTACTTTTAATATATGTGTGTTATGGTGACAATTTTTATGCTTATATTTTGTTTTGTTAATCTTATGGTTATGTTGTTTTTACTTTGTATGTTTTGTGATGTTACCTGGGAACCACTCTGAGTCCCCTCGGGGAGATGGAGCAGTATATACCGTATATTCCGGCATATAAGACGACTGGGGGTATAAGACGACTCCCAACTTTTCCAGTTAAAATATAGAGTTAAAACAACAGCCATGCATAAGACTACACCCGCATATAAGACGACCCCTGACTTTTGAGAAGATTTTCTTGGGTTAAAAAGTAGTCTTATACGCCAGAATATACTGTATATAAAGTTATTATTATTATTATTATTATTATTATTATTATTATTATTTGTCATGTCAAGAGCATCCTGTTATGAGCCCTCGGTGGTGCAGTGGGTTAAACCCCTGTGCCGGCAGGACTGAAGACCAACAGGTTGCAGGTTCGAATCCAGGGAGAGGTGGATGAGCTCCCTCTATCAGCTCCAGCTCCTCATGCAGGGACATGAGAGAAGCCTCCCACAAGGATGATAAAAACATCAAATCATCCGGGCGTCCCCCGGGCAACATCCTTGCAGACGGCCAGTTCTCTCACAACAGGATTATTACTTATTATTATTATTATTATTATTATTATTATTATTATCTGTCAGCTGCAAAAGGCCACTCTATTCAGATCTGCATGCATTATTCACCAATACTTCACATAGCCCTAGATACTTGGGAAGTGTCTGATGTGTGATCCAATACAAAACCCAGCATAGTGATCTTGTTTGCTGTGTACTAATTGTGTTGTGCATCAAATAAATAATAATAATAATAATAATAATAATAATAATAATAATAATAATAAAACCACCAACTCTCCCTAACCCGCTGTAATAGCAGGTTGGAGTCGCCATAGTCTAGTTGGGCTGAGACTGCATCAATTCCACTGGAATATCACCTCATCTTCTATATCAGTATCATATCTCCTAGCTGTCTGTAGAGCTCTATGTGAGCTCCTGGCCATTGCAGGCACCCCGTATTCACATCATCAGAGGCACCCTTGCGACTGGGAAGCAAGAGGGAGCTGGCATTTCCATCTTCTTTCTAGTTGCTCAAGAGCTTTTGCTGATGTCAGTTTGGAGTGCCCACCACAGCCAGGAATCCATATGGAGCTCTACAGATGGCTGGTTACATTCTGATGAGCTCAAGCAAAATGGGATGGTGGCAGTGGCCCATTTGGACAATGGACCAGTCAAAATCGGACCCAGTTCTGCCATCCCTACTGCCCCAAAGCTACAGGGGACTCTGAAGTTTCAAAAAAAAGCTTTGGCTTCAGGGCAAAGACAGTTTAACTTGCAATAAACACCAGATGTGGAGAAACGTTGTGTGATTAACCAGGAGCAGATCCCCATGTCAATGAACTCTTAGAGAAAGACAGCATGGATTAATTGGGTTCCTACCATGCTGGTTTTGCTTTTCTCAGAGTTCATGGGTATTAATCCCAGGAGTAAGAGCCAAGAAGGTCCTCAGTGAGGCAAATTTGGCTCAGTGGTGTATGTCCATCATGTTCACACTGTGTCCTGAATTTGTTAATTTGGAATATAATTTGGAATAATATGCCAGATGGCAGTAATCCAGAAGTTCTTCTTTTGGCTGCGTGTATTCCAAAGTGGCAAGAGCAAAGTAGGGAACGCTGAAGACACAAAGGAGGAACCAAACCAGTCCAAGGTTGTACACATTAGATCCAAAAAGAACATGTGAGTGGTCCTGGCTGTCTGAAGTCCAAGCAACAGAATCCCTTGTTGGCAAGGATCTGTGGTCTCTATTGTGGTGAGGTGCCAGTGATCATCACCACAAAGGAGACCACAGGTCTTTGCCAACAAGGGATTTTGTCGGCAAATAGCAACTGAACTAAGAACAAATTGTTCTGTCTGTAAATAAGAAAATCTGTTGCTCCAACATGTAGGAAATCTTTCTAAGAGTACTAAATTTTCAAGTACGTAGACTGAAACAAGGCAAAGAATGTTGAAAGTGGGATGAAATCTGACATATTGAGAAAGCCAGTGGCAATTTGGAAGAGACAGTCCCAATTAATGTTTGTCTCATGGCTGTATGCCAGGCAAACATGGAAGCTGTCAGCAGTGGAATTAAGTGTTTCCAAACTTTTAGTCCTCCAGGTATTTTGGACTTCAGCTCCCAGAATTCCCGACTGTTGGCCAATTCATCTGGGGCTTCTGGGAACTGAAATACAAAGTATCTAGAACAGTGGTTCCTCAACCTGTGGGTCCCCAAGTGTTTTGGCCTACAACTCCCAGAAATCCCAGCCAGTTTATCAGCTGTTAGGATTTATGGGAGTTGAAGGCCAAAACATCTGGGGACCCACAGGTTGAGAACCACTGATCTAGAAGACCAACATTGGGAACCAGTGTTCTGAAGCAAAGCTAAAGCCCTGCCATGTATACAGAGCAGATTTGCCTCCTCTTAGATTTTGCTTTGGTGAATATTTTCTGAGCCGATTCCTCAGAGGTTTAGCCATTTTTGTGGTCCTTCTACTGCCCTTGTTGAACTTTCTGATCTTCCAGGCAGGAAGGTTTTGTTATTCCTCCAGTCTAAAGACCCTCCCATGGCTAAAAGCCATTACTTATTTCTTTTCCACTATCCAGCCAAGAATCAAGTGAAGCTTGCAGGGAAATGATGTGTTTTATGTCAGGAGAGATTTAAGAAACTGCAAGTCACTTCTGGTATGAGAGAATTGGCCGTCTGCAAGGATGTTGCCCAGGGGACGCCCGGATGTTTGATGTTTTACCATCCTTGTGGGAGGCTTTTCTTATGTCCCCACATGGGGAGCTGGAGCTGACAGAGGGAGTTCAACCCACTCTCCTCAGATTCAAACCACTGACCTGTCGGTCAACAGTCTGCCGACACAAGGCTTAATTTATTGCACCACCAGTGGCTCCAAGGGACATGATGAAAAAAGACAAAATGGCATGGCAGTGATCAATTTAAAACAAATGAAAGGGGGAAAGAGAGGGTTTGGTTTGGACCTAACCAGCTTAAAGGTCAGAAATTCGTTTCCAGGTAACCCAAAATCTATCTGCTTTCAGAAAATCATAATTACAATTTTATACCAAGCAACAGAGCATGTGCAAAAAGCAATTTTGGGAAGGTTGGCCTTTGGGATCTAGCAAGATGGAGTGAAATGGCTTCATTATTTTTCCTACCAGGTCTTTGTTATCAATTTCCGGACCCATTCCACATGATTGATATTTTTCTTAAATCATACTGCCCAGAACCAAACATGGGATTTTATTGCGCAAGAGAGGCAAAGTGGCATTGCAACTGCAACACTGCCTTGTGGTGAAGTCCCTGTTGCATGATGTTGTATGTATCCCACAGCTAGTCGGCCTCCTCACTGTGATTATCCCATCCTGAGCTATTGATGGATAAAAACATCACCGAACTTGCTGCAATGGGTCTCTTTCACTTCTTTTCTAGCAAAATGGCAGTAAAGTGATATCAGTGGGTGCGAGTCTCCTCTCCCCTTCACTATCCATTTTCTGTGGTTATATTTGCCTTCCTTTTTTGGTTTGTTTTATGAAGCTGGAATTGCAAAATGGCTCTAAATATTATAATAAAAAAATAGCCATACTGCATGAAAGCAAAGTTCATTTATTTCATTTACAGTATTTATATTCCGCCCTTCTCATCCCGCAAGGGACTCAGGGTCGATTATAATATACACATACATGGCAAACATTCAATGCCATAGACACACAACACATATAGACAGACAGTCAGAGGCTATTTAACATTTCAATTTTCTGGCCTCCACGGGAGCTGTCGCTTCACCATCCATCTGTGACACTGATGAAGTATTTTCCGCATTTTCCACATGCTTTTGCTGGAGATTTTTTATGGTCTCGTAAATTTGTTAAATTAGCCTCCCCACACATAGGTGGTACCTAAATTTCCTACTTGACAGATGCAACTGTCTTTCGGGCTTCAAAGGTCAACAACAAGCTACACAAATTGGCCGGAAGCTCATTCCGACCCGAGCTGGCTTCGAACTCATGACCTTCCGGTCAGTAGTGATCTTAATGCAGCTGACACCCAGCCAGCTGCGCCACAGTCCCTGTTACAAGAGTGTGACAACTGCAGGATCACAAAGTGGTGAACCATCACAATTGTGTAATTAAAGCAGTGGTTCCAAATCTTTTTTTGACCGGGGACCACTTTGACGGAAGGGACCACTCTCCAACATTAGTACCAAAAGGGTTACGAATCAGTTTTTGGTCAACTTTAGATTCAGTTTTGTTATTTGGGGTGCTGATTCAGAAAATTGCCTTGGATAGACCACATCAGCTCTAGTTTCTGATATAGAACATATGCCAATCAGGAGTCGCCATCTGCTCGCCCACTGAAACCCATATTTAATCATCTAGAGCTGCTGACGTTATTTTAAGTCTTGAGGCCCAGCAGTGGTACAATATTAAAATTACTAAATTCAGCATGTATCCGTTATCACTGATAGCACAACTGTAGTGGAATAGCAGGTTTGAATGTTCAAATCCATGCTATCTCAGGTGGAAATGTCACTGAAAAAGAGGATACCATTGCGTCTTCCTTGCTAGCTTTTCATCATGCAGGCATAGGCAAACTTTCTAGCTTGGGGGCCGCAAGTCCCCTCCCTGCCCTTTCCTCCCCTTCCTCTTCTCTTTTGGAAGCAGAAAGTGAAGAAAAGACAGTGAACACCTGGATCCCAAAAGGGTTGGCCTTGGTCAGGTTGAGATTGTGGATGGAAGATAAAAAGTATGTCCATGAGTCTTGCCTACTCTTGAAATAGAATCCCAGAGCTGAAAGAGACCCCAAGGGCCATCCAGGGAAGAAAAAAAGGGAAGGAAAAGGAAAAAAGGGAAAGAAAGAAAGGAAGGAAAGAAAAGAAGGAAGAGAGAGGAAGGGAGAGGAAAAAAAAAGAGGGAAAGAAGGAAAAAGAGGAGGATGAGGCAGGGCCCGTAGCCAGGATTTCGTTTCGGGGGGGGGGGCTGAATTTTTTTTCAGGGGGGTTGGGGGGGGCTGAGTTTCGGGGGGGGCTGAGTCTGAGTGAAAGAGGGTCTACCCTAGCAAACCTTTTGTATCATTACCCCAATACCCCCATGCATATGGGATATATTGAGTATGGTGATCAGATCATGATATGAATAAACATAACAGTTTAAATAATGCACCAATAAGGCCTTTTCGCGAACCACCATGAAAATTTCGGGGGGGGGGCTGAAGCCCCCCGAGCCCCCCCCCCCCCCCCCCTGGCTACATGCCTGTAGGGAAAAGGGGAAAGAAGGGAAGGAAAAAAAGGGAGGGGGGAAGGAAGGGAAGAAAGGGGAAAGGGAAGGAAGGAAGAAAGGAAGGAAGAAGGAAAGGAAGAAGAGAAGGATGGAAGAGAGAGGAGGGTGGAAGGGAGGGAGGAGGGGAGGGAAGGAGGAAAAGAGAGGAGGGAAGGGAAAAGGAGAGAAAGGAAAGGGAAAGGGGGGGGAAAAGAAGGAGGAAAGAGAGAGGGAGGAAAGAGAGAAGGAAAGGAAAGACAAAACGGAAAGGAGGGAGGAAGAATGGTAGGAAGGAAGGAAAGAAGGAAAGAAAGAAGGAAAGAAGGGAACAAAGAAGGAAGGAAGGATGGAAGGAAAGAAAGAAAGAAAAAAGGGGAAGAGAGGGGGAAGGAGGGAGGAAAGAGGGAAGGAAGGAAGGATGAAAGGGCGAAAGGGAGAAAGTGGGGGAAGGAAGGAGAAAGAGGGAGGGAAAGAAGGGAAGGAAGGAGGAAGAAAAGAGAGAAGGAAGGATAGGATGGTGAGAGATGGTGTCCATACCTGCTCTATTGGAACAATACCAAGGTCCAAAGACATTTTTTGTTATAGTTGATCTCTCTCTCTCTCTTTTTCATCCTGTAATGCAGATCCCTTCCTTCTGGAAGAGAAGTCAGGACTTCTCGAGAGAGAGTGCCTTTAGTGCTGTGACCAAGCGACTCATACGAAACTCTGGCTGGACCTTAACCATTACTTCTCAATGGCCCCTTTTCTCCCTTCACTCGTTCTGGCCTTTTACCTAACCTACTTAAAGATGCTGGGCGTCTCCAGCCAAACAACCAACAGTTACATGGACAGCGCCATCCCTTTGAAGGTTCTGGAGCAAGAACAAGCATACAGTCGTCTCCAGCCAGGCATCCTTCTGGACTTTGGTAGCACTGCCAACCAATCTGGAGACCTCGGAGAGGCTGTTGTCACAAAAGCCCCACGTCCGTCAATCATGTGTGTCAAGCCGACAGAGATCCGGAAAATCTTTAAGTACATCAACACTATTGTGTCCTGCACCATCTTCATCGTGGGCATCATCGGCAACACTACCCTGCTAAGAATCATCTATGAGAACAAGTGTATGAGGAATGGGCCAAATGTCCTCATTGCCAGCTTGGCACTTGGGGACCTTCTGTACATTCTCATTAGCTTGCCCATCAATACGTACAAGGTAAGTCTTTTGCCTAAACATTGAATGTTTAGGTGTCCAGATACTTGGATGAGTTTATCACACTGCTCAGCTTTCACTGCCATGATTCAGTGCTACAAAATCACGGATTTCATGGTTTTACAAGATCTTGAGCTTTCTCTGCCCAAGAGTGTTGGTGCCTCGCCAAACTACAACTCTCGAGATACCCTGGCATCGAGCCATGGCCATTCAAGTGGCGTCAAGCATGTATTAATTATAGAGTGGGAGACCCAAAACTATTTGGGACGGTTGACCACTAACGTTCAAATGAGAGCAACCCTCTTTGAATCCTCCTGCTTCTTGGGCTTTGCAACAAGGGATATAATAGAGTTACTGTTGTGTAATTTAAGAGCCAAAGGTTAGTCAGATGTCATAAAGGCAACAAAACTAGGCTGCTTATGTGTTCAACAGAGAGGCCCAGGGGGCAAAATATCCCATTGGAATGTATCAGTCTCATAGACCCACTCAGATGTTTCATGTTGCTTTGGATCTTCGCCAAGAACCTCCTGATCAACATGGGCCAAAAAAGTACCTTGGCGAGGAGCCATCTTCAGTTACAAACACATGAGCTCTGAGCATGTGGAGGGTTCTCCTTCCTTCCCGCTCTCCTTTAGGGCCAATCAGTTAGTTTGTCATGAATTCATAAACTTTGACAAACTTATTTTCCCAGTGTTTTGCAAATGTGGCAAAGTGTGTCAAAAGAAAGAGCCCTCTCCATAAATATTTGCAAACATCTTTGTAAATATCTCTATAAATAAAAATGCAATGTTCGTTTGTGTGATTAACATAATTCCAAAACCACTGGACTAATTAATACGAAATTTGGACACAATACACCTATCAGGCCAACAAGTGACCATCACTCATAAAAAATATTATTATTATTATTATTATTATTATTATTATTATTATTATTAACTTTATTTGTACCCCGCTAGCATCTCCCGAAGGACTCGATGCGGCTTACAAAGGCCAAGGCCTCAAAACACAACATAACAATATACAAAGGCCAAGGCCTCAAAACACAACATAACAATACACAACCTAAAGCAAATTAAAAATTAAAAACAGTTAAAGCAAAATTAAACAATAAGCAATAAACAATACACCAAGACACAATAAAACTGGGCCGGGCCAGAGTAATGGGTACAGATTAAAAGTGCTGAAGTGACAGGTGATATGTAAGGATTATAGGGTAAGTGCAGTGTGCCAGCAATCTTAATTCTAATAAAGTGCTTCTGGGACTTGTTATTGGAGATTCCTATTCTGGAAAGGCACATCGGAACAGCCAGGTCTTCAAGTTCTTTCTAAAGACTGCCAATGTAGGGGCCTGTCTAAGATCTTTGGGGAGGGTGTTCCAGAGTCGGGGGGCCACCACAGAAAAGGCCCTGTCTTGCGTCCCCACCAAACGCGCCTGCGACGGGGAAGGGACTTAAAATCCAAAAATGCAAAAAGACACTATAGCGCATGTGCAAAAACGACTCCCCCGGCAAATTCCAATTTCTTATTCCTGGACTGCAACTCCCAGCAATCCTCCAGATAGATAGGTAGGTAGGTTGATCGATCAAGAAGACTGCAGGGAGTTGCGGTCCAAGAATAGGTAAAGAAGGAAGAACGGGGAGAAAGAGGAAGAGAAAGAAAAGGTGGGAAAGGAAGGGAAGAGGAAGAGGAAGAGAAAGAAGGAAGGAAGGAAGGAGAGAAAGAAAGGAGGAGAGAAAGAGGGAGGGAAGGTTGGTTACAGCAACACGTGGCGGGTACAGCTAGTTATTATATACGGGTATTATTACACACTTTTTCTAGAGTATACATTTTTGGTGAGTCTTTCCCCCTCTTCATATGATGCAGTTTTGTAAGTATTTTGTCATGTACATATATATGGTTGAAAAATTATTTTTAATAAGAGGCAGAATCCCAAATTCCAAAGTTTGTATTTGGCATTTTGTTGATGAGCCTGAACTAGATTAGGTCCATTAGATCTAAGTAAAAAAAGGATCTTCTCAGTCAAGGCCATCCACCAGTCTTCTCAAATTCTCATTACTTTTTGATCGTAATTTTCTGACTAGGATGGGTTTGTTTGCAATATCTTCAGATGAGGAATTAAGTGCAAGTTTGATGTGGACTTTGAATGCTGCTGCATCTTCTCTCCTATTTCCATTGGTGATCTGGAGACCAGGTTCAAATCCCCATTCAGCCATGCAAACCCATTTGGTGATCTTCAGAGTCCAAGGAAAGGATAGTTTCCAAAACAGGAGTCTGTTATGCTCTAGCACTGAAACACTTTGTCACCCAGCACCACACCAGAGTTCAGTAATTCTATCTAAAAATGTGTATTAAAGAAAATAGATAAAAAGGGGAGAAAGGGCAATTCCAAAAGGGTCAGTAGAATAGGAAATACAAAAATAGCAGTAATCCAAAAATGAGAAAAGAGTCAAGAGAACCAAAAAACCATCAGTACTTCAAACACAAATCCATAAACATGCAGACAGGAACTTTTCCAAGGTAAACCCTGCAAGGAAACTACAGCATGAACCAGTCCAGGAATCTTGAGAATACTTGAATCATGAACTTGAGAGCGAAAACAGGAGAGTCATCTCCTCTGGCAATGCTGTCTCCTCTCAGAGGTTTGAAGCCAAACCACTTAATTTAAACCCATCCAGGCACCCATGAAATCATGCCGAATACACCTGGACTTCAAGGTCTTCTCACGGACTCTGTGAGAATATCTAGTTTGTCTGTTCTTCACTCCCTCTGTTCTCAGGCCTAATCTAGTTTCACAGGAAAACTCCCCATCTACCCAAGGACTATCACTTTCCCCTGTTGCCTGGGATCGAGCTCAGGAATCCAAAACATTGGCCTCATCTGCCTACAATTCTCTCAGATCACTCACAGACTCCTCAATTTGACACCCCTCATCCTCCTCATCCTCTGAAACAGTGGTTCTCAACCTGGGGTCCCCAAATTTTGGCCTACAACTCCCAGAAATCCCAGCCAGTGTACCAGCTGTTAGGATTTCTGGGAGTTGAAGGCCAAAAACATCTGGGGACCCCAGGTTGAGAACCACTACTCTGAAAAATTCTGACGCTTGCTGTGCTACAACAAAGTCCAACACTCAAACCACTACACCACATTTACTCTGGTTACAAATTGGGGTCCTATCTACACTGTCACATAATGCAGATTGAAACTGCATTATATGGTCAGTGTAGACTTATATAAGACAATTTGAACTGCATTATGAGAGTCTACACTGATTAGATAACACAGTTTCATTATATGGTCAGTGTAGTCCTGTGCCAGTATTCCTACTGCCTGTAAAAAAAATTAAGAGCTTTAAACATTTTTTCTAAATTCTTGGAGATACAGCTTATCTCAACTATGGAAGAAATAATAACCCCCTTAATGTTTTGCACATAAGTGTATAATCCAGTTTTCTAAGCATGGAGCAAAATTATTCTTTCCAAATGGATCCAAAGTAAACCAGTCTGGTATTAGATTTTCAACTGAGTTAATTAAATAACTTATTTTTAAAAGGCTTTTTTTTTTTTTGCTTCTAACAAATCACTTTTATCGATGTAGGAAGACTATTGTTAGATCCGTGAATAGTCTTTGAGACTGGACTTCTTGCTCATGTAACTGCACTTTATCTCAGAGTTTATTAGCTAATGTTCAGACACTGATTTCTATTTTTCATTCACTAGTATTTTCACCTGTGTCTTGTTGAAAGGTTTGCATGATCCTGGGAGAATGGATGCCGGTTCTGTGTTTTCTTCCCTTCATTTCTGGAAGTGGCCCATTAATGGCATGCTCTCTCTTCCACAGCTCCTTTCAGAAGCAAGCTTGCCTCTTGGGGTCATGGGGTGCAAAATTGTGCCATTCATTCAGAAGGCCTCTGTGGGCATCACTGTTCTCAGCCTCTGTGCTCTCAGCATCGACAGGTAAGAGACCGCCCTTGTTGCCAACCCAGCGGGATTCATCCATATTGGGAAAACTTTCTTTTTTCCTTCCAACTCCAAAAATTCCCCAGCCAGCATGTTCTGTGTTTTGCTGGCAAATACCATGTGTCCCATGTGCCAGATGCGCACCTCAATTTTCTTTTCTTTTTCTGGTATATATTTTATTGCAATATATGAGAAAGAAAAAAAGAAAAGAAACATGCAAAAATCAAAATACAAATATTATTTCCCCTGTCCCACCACCTCCCATTCCCACCCGTGAAGGTAAAGGCTTATTTATTTATTTACAGCATTTTTAAACCCGCTCTTTTCAGCCCACAAGGCGACCCAGGGTGGCGTACAGATTGGCAACCATTAAGATGTCACAACATACATACATATCAATTAAAAAGATTTAATATTACATAATAAAAATCCATATAAATGCCATTAAAACTATAAACACGGATGTCTTCCAGTTCAACTCCTTATCCATTTACATCATTTAAGCCATTCCGTGTTCGTTATTTCATCATACTGTGTTTATCTGATTATGCTACATTTTTGAAAGCTTGCTTGAAGAGCCAGGTTTTTACTCTCTTCTGAAAGGTCAGGAGGGAGGGGCCGATTTAATATCCCTAGGAAGGGAGTTCCACAGCTGAGGGGCCACCACTGAGAAGACCCTGTCTCTGTCCCCACCAAATGTGCCTGCGAGGAAGGCAAGATGAAGAGCAGGGCTTCCCCAGATGATCTTAAATTCCTGGATGGTTCATAAGGAGAGATACGTTTGGACAGGTAAGATGGACCTTATCCGTTTAGGACTTTATAGGCTAAAGCCAGCACTTTGAATTGTGCTTGGTTGCAAACTGGGAGCCAGTGGAGCTGGCGCAACAGCAGGGTTGTATACTCCCTGAGTGCTGCTCCCGTTAGTAATCTGGCTGCCACCCTCTGCACCATTTGAAGCTTCTGAACAGTCTTCAAAGGCAACCCCATGTATAGCGCATTGCAGTAGTCTATACGGGATGCAACCAGAGCGTGGACTACCATGGCCAAATCAGACTTCACAAAGTACGGGCGCAGCTGGCGCACAAGCTTCCCCTTGACATTAAGTCTAGTCGAGTCTGACTCTAGGGGGAGTCCAGGGCCACCCCCAAACTGTAAACCTGAGGTTTCAGGTGAAGTGTAACCCCGTCCAGCTCAAGTTGTAATCGTATTTCCACATTGATCTTGTGCAAGACCTGCAGTGCTTCCATTTTGTGTAGATTAAGCTTCAATTTGTTTGCCCTCATCCAGTTTCTCAGGCAATGGTTCAGATGCAGAACTGCTTCCTTGGCATCAGATAGGAAGGGGTAATAGAGCTGGGCATCATTTGCGTACAGATCGTACTGAACTCCAAAACTCCAGATGATCTCTCCCAGCAGTTTCATGTAAATGTTAACATTGGGGGTAGTAATGAGCCCTGTGGGGCCCCAAAGCCCACAGGCCATGGGGTGGAGCAGGATTCCCCCAACACCATCTTCTGGAGACATCCCAAGAGGAAGGATTGGAACCACTGCAGTACAGCGCCTCCAAGCCCCATCCCCGCCAAATGCTCCAGAAGGATACCATGGAATTGAACACTGCTGAGAGATCTAGGAGGACAGGCAGGGTCACACTCCCCCTGTAGAGTGAATCCACTTTAATTGGCTTTGCTCAGTGCTATGGAATCATAGGGGCTGTAGGTTTACAAGATCTTGAACCTTCTCTTCTCAAGAATGTTCATGCCTCACCAAACTACAAATCCCAGGAATGCATAGCAGATTCCCCTTTTGCTTTGGCTCAGTTCTAAGATTACCGTATTACATAAATTTAACGCACACCCAGATTCTAGTAAGGTAATTTAGCCAACGGAGGTGAGCATTAGATTTGAGTAAATAAGTAGGCCTGGGTAACAACGCAAAAATTTGTTTCTAAAATCGATTTGTATTTGGGTTTTTTTTTGTTTCGATATTTAAAATAATTACAAAATTTTCCCTTAAAAAAGTTCGGTATTTACGAAATTTCGTTAATATTTACAAAACATTTTGTAAAGATGGCGCCCTTTTTTTTTCAATATTTTTTTCAATATTTTTTTAATTTAATTATTAATTTAGTAGAATAGGGAGGAGAAATTATTATTAAGGAGGGAAGGCAGGCACTCACTCTGGCGGGCCCTCAAGCGCTGCCGCCGAGTCGGGCCCGGCTCCTCCGAAGCAATGCAAAATTGGGAGAAGGGCTCCCCAAAGGCCATCTAGCCCAGCCCTCCGCTAAGGAATTGGGAGAACGAAGCACAGCCCTCCGCTAAGGAATTGGGAGAACAAAGCACAGCCCTCCGCTAAGGAATTGGGAGAACGAAGCACAGCCCTCCGCTAAGGAATTGGGAGAACGAAGCACAGCCCTCCGCTAAGGAATTGGGAGAACGAAGCACAGCCCTCCGCTAAGGAATTGGGGGAACGAAGCACAGCCCTCCGCTAAGGAATTGGGAGAACGAAGCACAGCCCTCCGCTAAGGAATTGGGAGAACGAAGCACAGCCCTCCGCTAAGGAATTGGGAGAACGAAGCACACCCACCGCAAAGGTGAGGAAGGAGGGACGGGCCGCCTTCCCGCTGAGGGTCGCTCGCCCTCTCGCTCGCTTGCTCAGCCGGCGCCTTCCCCGCCCTCTCCTCCTCCTCCTCCTCCTCCTCTTTCAGGCTCTGACTGGCTAAGGAGAGGAGAGAGAGGAGAGCTCCCAGCAAGCATCTAGCCATCTTACGTATTTCACAGAAATACAAAAATTTTTGGCGCATGCCGTTTCGATATTTAAAAACACTTCCGGGTTTAAAAATAAGTTTTGTAATCATTTTGTAATTGCTAAAATTAACGAATATTTAACGAATTACAAAATTAACGAACGAAACCGCCCAGGCCTATAAATAAGTTATTCATCTTCTACTTATTTTTCCTTTGCTGGAGTTTTTAATATTTAACATTTCCTATTATAAGCATTTTAAGTTATATATTTTTTTAAAAAATTAAGGAAGAAGGTATAAATGATGCTTGGTTCAACGAGGAGCTGGCAGCCATGAAGCGAAGGAAGAGGAGACTAGCGAGCATGTGGTGTTTGGATCCGAGCGAATCAAATTGAGCACAGCTAGATGCCCTGCTAAGGGCATATGCCACGGCAATAAAAGCTGCACAGAAATCCTTTCTAGCAACCAATATTGCATCTGCAAGGAACCGTCCAGCAGAGCTGTTCAGAGTTGTCAGAAGCCTATTAAATCCCACCTCTCAGGATGGGAACCCTGACTATCTGGCAGCCCACTGTGAAGCATTTGCTCAGTTCTTTGCGGACAAAGTTGCTTTGATCCGTTGTGATCGGAGCATTTGCACAGTTAAAACTTGTGCGCCAGTTGCGCCCATACCTTGGGAAGTCTGACTTGGCCATGGTAGTCCACACTCTGGTTACATCCCATATAGACTACTGCAATGCGCTCTATGTGGGGTTGCCTTTCAAGACTGCCCGGAAGCTTCAAATGTTCCAACGAATAGCAGCCAGATTGCTAACAGGAGTGGTGCTAACAGGAGCGGTGCTAACAGGAGTGGCGCTAACAGGAGTGGCGCTAAGGGAGCACACTACTCCTCTGTTTCGCCAGCTCCACTAGCTGTCAGTTTGCTACTGGGCACAATTAAAAGTGCTGGCTTTAGCCTATAAATCCCTAAACAGTTCTGGCCCAACTTACATGACTGAACGCATCTCCCCTTATGAACCTTAAGATCGTCTGGGGAGGTCCTGTTCTCGTTACTGCCTTCGTCACAAGTACGTTTGAAGGAAATGAGATACAGGACCTTCTCAGTGGTGGCCCCTTGCCTATGGAACACCCACCCTATAGATATTAGATTGGCCACCTCCCTTTTAACATTCCAGAAAAAAGTCAAGTCATGGCTTTTTGAACAAGCATTTGCAAATGCAGAATAACTGACACAGGCAAATGGAACGACTAGACAATCAGTCCGGACAACGTTTTTAACAAGGAGACACTATGAATGTATATTTTATTGGTTTAGTTTTTATTATATGTTATGTTTTTAATTGTATTTAAGACATTGTAAGCATTGAATTTTGCCCTGTTAACCGCCTTGACTCGCCTGCGAGCTGAGAAACGCGGCATACAAATACAGTAAATAAACAAACAAATAAATAAATGTTTTGAAAGAGCCTGGCTCTTTTTAATTGAAGGGCTTGTCATCACTGTCCTCCTCATGCATGCATTAAAGCTGAAATATCATTGCTTCCCAATGGCAGGTACCAAGCCGTGGCATCCTGGAGTCGGATCCAAGGGATTGGGATTCCCATGTGGAAGGCAGTGGAGGTGTCCCTCATTTGGGTAGCAGCCTTCTGCTTAGCCATCCCTGAAGCTATAGGCTTCAATCTGGTGCCGGTGAATTACCGTGGTCAGGACATCATAGTCTGCATGTTGCACCCAGAACAGAAGTCTGACTTCATGATGGTATGTTCTCACTTGGGATGATTGGCACAGCAAGGGAGTGAGGAGAGCCCAAGCCAGAGCGTGGAAACGCTATTGCTTCAATGTTAAATTAGTAAAAAAAAAAATCAAGATTTTAAAAATATGAAGTTAATTGGTTGACTAGCTTGTTATGGTTAGATCACACCTGGAATATTGTGTCCAATTCTGGGCACCACAATTCAAGAGAGATATTGACAAGCTGGAATGTGTCCAGAGGAGGGTCTGGAGAATGATCAAGGGTCTGGAGAACAAGCCCTATGAGGAGTGGCTTAAGGAGCTGGGCATGTTTAGCCTGAAGAAGAGAAGGCTGAGAGGAGATATGATAGCCATGTATAAATATGTGAGAGGAAGCCACAGGGAGGAGGGAGCAAGCTTGTTTTCTGCTTCCTTGGAGACTAGGACGCGGAACAATGACTTCAAACTACAAGAAAGGAGATTCCATCTGAACATAAGGAAGAACTTCCTGACTGTGAGAGCCGTTCAGCAGTGGAATTCTCTGCCCCGGGGTGTGGTGGAGGCTCCTTCTTTGGAAGCTTTTAAACAGAGGCTGGATGGCCATCTGTCAGGGGTGATTTGAATGCAATATTCCTGCTTCTTGGCAGGGGGTTGGACTGGATGGCCCATGAGGTCTCTTCCGAGTCTTTGATTCTATTATTCTTAACTGTTTTTGTAAAAATCAAACAAATGTCTAAAAGTAGCCCCAAAGGGTTAATGTCCCTCCAGTTATTCCCCAAAGTTATAGCAGTATCGTTCCACTTTAACAGCTATTGCCAAATCCTGTGACATTCTGAGGGTTGTAGTTTAGGGAGACATGGGAGCACTGTAGGCTGTTAGGAATTGTAGGAGTTGAAGTCCAAAACCTCTGGAGGGCTGAAGTTTGCCCATGCCTGGAGTACATGGACCCTGCTGGCTTTGTAAACATCCGTACGGACCATTTTGGGTAGCCGGTGCTCCTGCCCACAAACCCTGACCCTCCTGAAAGATGGTGGTTGTCCATTGCTCTGAGTGTGCTGGCCAAGGAGGGAAGTCACCAGTGCAGATTGGGGTCCTTCCCTGCCTTCTCCACTTGGAAGGAGAGTTTGAACCATCTTGGAGAAAAAGTATGATATTGATGTTCTTGGAGGGCAAGCATGCCAGTAAACAAACCTAGCAGACGAAAAACATAAACAACTGGAAAAAAAATGGTGTGGCTAACAGAGGATGTCATTGATTTATATGAATTTATATAATAGATCATGTCAAGATTTCAAAATTCCATCTAGAAATAAACCATGCACAAAAACATATTCTCAGCCTTTCCCGTAGCTTCCTATTGGACAACAGAAGGGACAGAGTTTTTTATCTTTTTGCTACATGTGGAACATTGTATTCATATCTTGTCTGTGAGGGTAATTTGTTATTTTTTGGCTGATTTGTCAGTTTTCTGTCAATGCAATTATACACATTCTTGACTTTCCGGTGTTGTCAAGAAATGTGTTGTTCAATTTTAATAATTTCCAATGAGCCCCCAATGGCACAATGGTATTAACCCTTGTGCCTTTAGGACTGCTGATCAAAAGGTTGCCAGTTCGAATCCGGGGAGCAGGGTGAGCTCCCATCTGTCAGCTCCAGCTCCAGATTCTCATGCGGGGACATGAGACAAGCCTCCCATGAGGTGGTAAAACATCCGGGTGCCCCTTGGGCAATGTCTTTGCAGACGGCCAATTCTCTCACACCAGAAGCGACTTGAAGTTTCTCAAATTGCTCCTGATACGAAAAAAAGTAATAATTTCCAATTTTTCCGCTGCCGAACAAACTTGCAAAATTAGTAAACTTTTATTATTCACAGTTAATAAATTGATAGCAAAGTGATATCTGCAGTCTCAGCATGATCTTACCACTTTTTTTGTCATGTCAGGAGCGACTTGAGAAACTACAAGTCACTTCTGGCATTAGAGAATTGGCTGTCTGCAAGGACATTGCCCAGGGGACGCCCGGATAATTTTTGATGTTTTTATCATTCTTGTGGGAGGCTTCTCTCATGTCCCTGTATGAGGAGCTGGAGCTGATAGAGGGAGCTCAACCGCCTCTCCCCGGATTCGAACCTGCGACCTGTTGGTCTTCAGTCCTGCCGGCACAGGGGTTTAACCCACCGCGCCACCGGGGGCTCCTATCTTACCACTAATTTCTGGTAAAAACTTCTGCAACTAGTTCTTGCCACCATTTTGATTGCAACCAGAAGTTGATACATGTCTCTCAGTTGTCATATATCTTTTTTCACCAGCAGTTCATTGTTAGACAATATAATTGAATTGGACTGGAATTCAATTTGAAAAAGGAAAGAGCTGTTCTTATTAGGCTTGGGCGGTTTCGTTCGTTAATTTCGTAATTCGTTATTATTTCGTATTTAAATTAGCTTACGACCCAATACTGAGCCATGCAGGAATAGTGTGAGGAGTAAATTAGATTCGAAACAATTTTTTCAATTTATTTTGTAATTATTTTGTAATAATTTCGTAATTATTTTGTAATAATTTCGTAATTATTTTGTAATTATTTCGTAATTATTTTGGCATGTCTGGTGCAAGTTTTATAGTTGTTGTTTGTTTTATCACACCAACAGTCAACAACAGAGGGAGAGGGAAGCTTCAGAAGTTCCTCCTGTCCCATTTGGAGGTTTTTTTAGCATATTGCGCAATCGCGTCCGCCATTAACGAATCGATTCGTAATTATACGAAATTTCGTATATTTCGAAATTTTTAAAAGGAAAATTTTGGAATTATTAAAAAAAAACGAAACGCAAGGGCCCCCTAAAAACAAAACGAGTTTAGAACCAAATTTTTCCGTGGTTACCCAAGCCTAGTTCTTATGCTTTCCCTTCTGTCTGCAGTTCTACAAGCTTGCGAAAGATTGGTGGCTTTTTGGCTTCTATTTCTGCTTGCCCGTGGCCTGCACAGGGATCTTCTACTACCTCATGTCGTTTGAGATGCTGAGCAAGAGGAACGGGATGAGAATCGCGCTCAATAACCACATGAAGCGGGTAAGGTCCTTCAACTAAACAACTTCTCCTGTCCTTTGGCTAACCAGATATACTACTTTGCACTGGATAAGACTTTTGGCTCATTAAAGTGGGTGTGCTTCCTTTTGGATTATGCTGGCCAGATTGTAGAAGTTGTAGTTCATAAAGTAACTTTGCTTTGCTTTGATTGTAAAATTGGCTCTCCGAGGTAGAATCATAAAGTTGGAAGAGACCCTAACTCCAACCTCTTCAGCCCAAGCCCTTGTCACAGATAGCCATCCAGCCTCTTTGTAAGAATCTCTGGAGAAGGAGATTCCACTGCAATGTGAGGCAAGATATTCCAGTTAGACAGCAATTCCCATCCTAATATTTAGATGGAATTTGTTTTCCTGTGATTTGAATCCATTGCTCCACTGTGTCTTTGTTGCACTGTAGCCCTGGAACACCTTTTCACCCAACACCACACAATGTTCAGATAATTAAGTAAAAGTTTATTATTGAATAAGTAAACAAGGAAAAGGGTAAGTCAAAAAGAAGCAGCAAAAGCTCAAAACACAATTCCCAATGAGATCAAGAGATTATTATTATTATTATTATTATTATTATTATTATTATTATTATTATTATTAGAAACACAACAAGATGAGTCCACAGCAGACACTCTGCTGGCTGTTGTACTGGATCGCACATCTGACACTTCCCAGGTGTCTAAGACTGTGTGATGTATCAGCGAATAATGCGTGCAGATCCCAGTAAGGTGGCCTTTTGCAGCTGGCAGATGGTAATCTTGGCAGCGCCAATTGTGTTTAAGTGCAGGCCAAAGTCTTTAGGTACTGTACCCAGTGTGCTTATCACCACTGGGACCATCTTGACTGGCTTGTGCCAGAGTCTTTGCAATTCGATCTTTAAAACCTCATATTGTGTCATCTTTTCCAGTTGTTTCTCTTCAATTCTGCTGTCACCTGGGATTGCAACATCGACAATCCATACTTTGTTTTTTAACACGATTGTGAGGTCAGAAGTCTTGTGCTCCAAAACTCTGTCTGTCTGAATCCGGAAGTCCTAGAGTAGCTTGACGTGTTCATTCTCTGTAACTTTTTCTGGTTTGTGATCCCACCACTTCTTTGTCGCAATATTTGTGGCACAAGTTCCAATGAATCATCTGAGCAACGGTGTTGTGCCTCTGCTTGTAGTCTGTCTGCACGATATTCTTGCAGCAGCTGAGGATGTGATCTATTGTTTCATCTGCCTCCTCGCAGAGTCTACATTTGGGATCTGTCACCAACTTTTCAATTCTGGCTTTGATGGCATTCATTCTAATGGCTTGTTCTTGGGCTGCCAGAATCAGGCCCTCCATTTGTGACCCACAGCCATGTTTTTTCTTTGTCCATTATTATTATTATTATTATTATTATTATTATTATTATTATTATTATTTCTTATATTTATACCCCACCCTTCTCACCCCTGAGGGGGGACTCAGGGCGGCCTCACAACAAGCACCACTAAAGGTCCGAGAGCCCAGAAACTACTTAAAAAGCCTCAATCCCTCCCATGACATCACTTTGCACACACCTGCTTTTTCTCTCCTTATCTCTAAGCCTCTGAGAAAAAACGAGTTTGTCTTTGTTTTACATTCCTCCTAATTTCAAGGCATCTCATGCTTCCTCTCTGCATTGACAATAATAATAATAATAATAATAATAATAATAATAATAATAATAAATATTAATAATTAATAATAATAATATATTATTATTAATCATAATTTAGTTCAAGTTATTTATATTCCTTTTTGTGTCCTTTGACTTATTAATCTCAATGTCTGGGCTTATGGGTCTCAGCGCCGAGAAGTGGCCAAGACGGTGTTCTGCTTGGTGATGATCTTTGCTCTCTGCTGGCTGCCCCTCCACCTCAGCAGGATACTCAAGAATACCATCTACAACCAACATGATCCTGATAGATGCGAGCTGCTCAGGTAGGATCAATACCGGAAATGCCACATCTTGTTCAAACCTCGGAGACATCCAGAATCCATGAGGTCAAAGAAAAGTTTCCAAATTTGAAATGTTTATACCCCAACTTCCCATCTGAATCTCTCGGGGCAGCAAATTGCTATCACACAATCATGAGGTATCATAAGACGACAGTTAGCCTAAAATAAACAGCCCAATCTGAATTTCCAAATGCGTAACGGATTCTCAGAATGTGCTTTTTGCTTTTAAAATAGGCCAATTAATGTCAAACAAAGGACAATGGTTCAGTTATACTGTCTGTAGTTGCAATGCAGGGAGAATCTATTCTGTCCTTGAGCTATTACATTTTGTATGTCTAAAGGCGGGTGAGAAGAAACTTATGCTGCTGACATATTAACACAGAATAATAATAATAATAATAATAATAATAATAATAATAATAATAATAATCTTTATTTATACCCCGCCACCATCTCCCCAAAGGGGACGCGGAGTGGCTTACATGAGGCCAAGCCCAGTGATACATTACAGCAAAATAAAATGTAAACAACAAAAATAACATCACAATAAAATAAATAAGCCATTCAAGTAAAAAAAAAGTGCAAAATAACATAATAACAAATAATTCAATGTATTCGTTGGTTAGACATTATGCTTACTTACTTACTTAGGTGATCCCTCGCTTTTCGAGGATGATTGTCTTCCAGTGTTCTTGTGGGTCCGTATGTGGCTGTGGAGCCCTATTCTTGCTCTGCATCTTCTCCCGCAGTGAGGGCATTGGTTTCCAGGTGGAAGGCGGTCTCGGTCGGGGTTGGCTTGATGCGCCTTCCTCTTGGCACGCTTCTCCCTTTCGCCCTCCATTCGTGCCTCTTCAAATTCTGCAGCACTGCTGGTCACAGCTGACCTCCAGCAGGAGCGGTCAAGGGCCAGGGCTTCCCAGTTCTCAGTGTCTATGTCAGAGTTTTTAAGGTTGGCTTTGAGCCCATCTTTAAATCTCTTTTCCTGTCCACCCACATTCCATTTTCCGTTCTTGAGTTCGGAGTAGAGCAACTGCTTTGGGAGACGGTGGTCAGGCATCCGGACAACGTGGCCGGTCCAGCGAAGTTGATGGCGGAAGACCTTCGCTTCAATGCTGGTGGTCTTTGCTTCTTCCAGCGCACTGACGTTTGTCTGCCTTTCTTCCCAAGAGATTTGCGGGATTTTCTGGAGGCAGCGCTGATGGAATTGTTCCAGGAGTTGCATGTGACGTCTGTAGACAGTCCACATCTCACAGGCATATAGCAGGGTTGGGAGGACAATAGCTCTATAAACAAGCACCTTGGTATCCTACGGACATTATGCACTATTTATGGTATTGCAACAAGTCTTAGGAAAGTTTATTCTCCAGAGAGCATTCTTTATCTCTTACAAGAGCAGACCTGGTGTATCCCTAACAGCACATATTGCTCTACTAAGGGTGCATCTATACTATAGAATTAAGGCCGTTGTACACTCCTTCGACTGCTATGGCTCAATGCTATGGAATCATGCGAGTTGTAGTTTTACAAGGTCTTCAACCTTTTTTTGTCAAACAGTGCTAGTGCCTCTTCCAACTACAAGTCTCAGGATTCCATAGCAAGATGCCATGCTAGTTAAAGTAAAGTCAAAATGCATTAATTATATTATATAGATCAGTTTATCAAACTTTTTTGACCAGGGACCACTCTCCAACATTAGTACCAAAAGGGTTACGAATCTGGTTTTGGTCAACTTTAGATTTGGTTTGATTATTTGGGGTGCTGATTCAGAAAATTGCATTGGATAGACCACATCGGCTCTAGTTTCTGATACAGAACATATTCCATCTAGTAGTCGTCATCTGCTCACCATAATTAATCATCTAGGGCTGACATGGTCTATCTAAGGGGCCAGGGCTGGTCAGCAACAGGGAAGGAATGTCAGGCAGTGTAATAAATAAAGAGGAAGGAAGCTCGCAGACCAGATTTTCGTCCTCACAGCCCTATGGTGGTCCACAGCCCACAAGTTAAGAACCACTATTCTATATTCTTGCCAATCAGATGCTGTGATGCTCATCTTTTGGCTCATATATTGGTCATTTTAGCATGGTGAGCAAGTGGAAACATTTTTCATGTGCTCTAGAGATGGCATGACGTCAACAACAGAGGAAGTCACCCAATGTCTCATTCTCTCTGTGTGTGGCTTTCGAATGTCCACAGTCAAGTCCCCCAGTTTGTCATCAAGCTCAGTAGGAGCACCTGGTGGTGCAATAGGTTAAACCCCTTGCGAGGGCAGGACTGCTGACTGAAAGGTCAGCAGTTCGAATCCGGGAAGTGGGGTGACTTCCCATCTGTCAGCTCCAGCTTTCTATGCGGGGACATGAGAAAAGCCTCCCACAAGATGGTAAAACATCTGGCCGTCCCCTGGGCAATGTCCTTGCAGAAGGCCAATTTTCTCACACCAGAAGCAACTTGCAGGTTCTCAAGTTGCTCCTGACATGAAAAAAAATCAAGCTTAGTGACCTTGGGCCTCTCCATCTCTACGCCTAGCCTTCCTCATAGGATCGTTATGAGGATACAAATGAAGAGGACAGCTAGTCTGTAGGTAGAGCAAGATAGCTGCCATACATGGAGGAACACCAGAAGCAGAGAGATTGGATGGACCTTTCAGAGCCCCCAGTAAACTATATTTAATAAGCCTTGGCACCAGGCCCGTAGCCGGGGGTGGGTGGGTGGGGGGCTTGAGGGGCTTCAGCCCCCCCCCCCAAAATTCCCAGGGTGGTCTGTGAGAAGGCCTTACTGGTACATTATTTAAACTGTTATGTTTATTCATATCATGACCTGATCACCATGCTCAATATACCCCATATGCATGGGGGTATTGGGATAACGATACAAAAGGTTTGCTAGGGTAGATCCTCTCTCACTCAGACTCAGCTCTCGCCCCTCCAAATCAAAGTAACCCCCCCCCCCCCAATCAAAATCCTGGCTACAGTACTGCTTGGCACTATACGGTTTTGTGAGACCAGTCACTCTCATTGCAACAGTGTAGTAACAGTGAGGTTGTGGACTATGTTTTAGTTCTTGGGGACCACTGGTGGACCATAGACCACAGGTTGGGACCACTGATATAGATACACCTTGGGCCACACTCCCTTCTATTTGCATCCAGTGAGCTGAAAATATTGGTGCCAGCCCAGTGCATGTTGGCCAAGAACTGCAATAGGTGGTCTCTTCCAATATTTTGTGCCATTTGGTTCTAGAGCTGGGGTATCACAATTTTTCCTTGTTTGTTTCCTTTCTTCTTCCAGCTTCCTTCTGGTCATGGACTATTTTGGCATCAACATGGCCTCACTCAACTCCTGCATCAATCCTGTGGCTCTCTACTTTGTCAGCCGGAAATTTAAGAACTGCTTCCAGGTAAGAGAACAGTGTACTCTTGGAGAAACAGGTTGTTGGTCTCCAAATGGAATGGTAAAGTTGTTACAGGGAGGAGGAGAAGGAAGAAGAGGAGAAAGCTTTCTTGGGATCGTGTCGCTTCCTCAAAAGAGGCCTGTTCTGCTATTTGCACAGCACAAGGAATAACCGTTCTCATATGACATGTATTGAAACGTTGGAGCTGTTTGGTAAAGTTTTTTATTTTCCATGTCAGGAGCGACTTGAGAAACTGCAAGTCACTTCTGGTGTGAGAGAATTGGCCGTCTTCAAGGACGTTGTCCAAGGGATGCCCAGATGTTTTGATGTTTTACCATTCTTGTGGGAGGCTTCTCTCATGTCCCCGCACGGGGAGCTGGAGCTGACAAAGGGAGCCCATCTGCACTCTCTCCAGATTCGAACCTCCAACCTGTTGGTCTTCAGTCCTGCTGGCACAAGGGTTTAACCCATTGCGCCACCAGGGAAAGTAGTAGAAGCAGACAGGTCAGTTGGAGAGCAAATCTTGGCTGTCTGACGGTTACTGTCTTATGGAGAGACAGAGCCATGTGTTTCATAAGGCATATCATGAACTCCTCCACTGGTCTGCAGCTAAGGCCAGTATAAGAATGCAAAAGAAGTGAGATCATGGAGAAGACAGTCCTTCATATGCTTCCATCTGCTAGCAAAAGATCTTGATCCACTCCTAGCATTCAACATTGATGCAGTTTCCCTTTGTGCATTCTTGCTGAATGAGGAATTGAACCTAGGTTTCCTAGTTTGCTAGCGTAAGCCATCTTAGTTATTTATTATTTATTTTAAATATTTGTACCCCACCCTTCTCTACCCCCGAAGGGGGACTCAGAGCAGCTTACAGCTGGCAACAATTTGATGCTATATACACACAGATTAAAAGAGCAATTACAAAATAGATAAAACATTAATATAAATTAAAACAATTTAAAATAGTGCAAATTCAATTTGTTGGCCAAATCTAAGTCTGAGTTCTACAGTCAACAAGCCTGTCCATAGTCCATTTACCATAGCATTGTCATCATTTATCAACCTACTATCCAAATGCCTGGTCCCATAGCCACGTTTTCAACTTTTTCCTGAAGGACAGGAGGGAAGCAGTTGACCTAATTTCACTGGGGAACGAGTTCCACAGGTGGGGCGCCACCACTGAGAAGGCCCTGTCTCTCATCCCTGCCAAGCACGTTTGCAACAGAGGCGGGATTGAGAGCAGGGCAACAAAAGACGAAACTGAGTTACAAATCCATCTGAACACAAGGAAGAACTTCCTGACTGTGAGAGCCATTCAGCAGAGGAACTCTCTACCCCGGAGTGTGGTGGAGGTTCCTTCTTTGGAAGCTTTTAAACCAAGGCTGGATGGCCATCTGTCAGGGG